TGGAGAAAACAAAACAAAACACTTTTACATAAAATAGCTAGGAAGTGACATGACTGACAGAAATATTTTCACCTCCTGCTGCAGTGGCCAGTGATCAGTCACCAGTGTGCATGCTGTACCATCTGAACGAGTAATAAGCAGGCCACAGACATTAGACAATGGTCAGATGTGCAAACACAATTCAATCCCCTGACTATAGGTTGAACTTGATGGACTTGGATGTCTTTATTCAACCTCAAATACTATGTCACTATGTGACTAGCGCATCCTTAATTTATAATTAACCTTGGCCCATAAGCACTACAAGAATGACTTCTTGACATTCACTCTCTCACTGCTTAACACCAAACTGTAAATTGATAACAGATGCTCCCATAAAGTTGGGTATGAACATTTCTATTTTCTTCGTTCAATCTGCCGGCTGAACTTAGAAAATAGACCAGATTAATGCTTATGAGCGTTCATTGAGGAATCTCCTGCTGTGTACAGTTCAGCCGAGACTTTTCAGACATGCTCCTGTGATCAGCTGATCGAGGTATGCCAGTTGAAAAGGTGCTGACAGCGCCACCCATGCTTCCAATTTCGGGCCAGGTCGTCAAAAACCAGCTGAAATTGAAGCACGTATACCCAGCTCAATCCATTCAGGTTTCCCAGTCAGGAAACAGATTGCTTATCTCCTTTTCCTTAGTTCCACTCTCTATAATCTGGTGCAATAAAATGAATTGGCAGTGCCTTGGTCTAATGGAATGAAGTACTGATAAAGCGGTCTGTTTTGTTTCATAGCTTAGATGGGGATCTGGGATGTGTGAATGACAATGCATTTGTAAAATCTCACCCTATGCAGGATCCAGAGATGATGCAAATACTCCAAGCCCTGAAGAGTCATCAACACATAAGACTTTATGTGTGCTGGAGTCAAGACTAGACTGGTATCCCTTATTATAGCCTGTAAAGACAGTTTAAAGATAGAAACAAAATATTTAGAAAGTCTGCTGAGAATAAATGTAGATGTTTAACCTTTAATTAAGCTGAAGCTTAGAAGGGGACATAACGTTTTTCATATCATTGTGTGGAACAGTTATTACATTTATGTTTCCAGAAACCTTACCTCTAAATCGGTTTCCATAAAATCAAATACCAGACTTATGTTGGATTTGTGACCAAAAGCATCCAAAAGCTGAAAAAACACAAATATTAGAGGTTTAATTCCCAAAAGTAAAAAAAGAAAATGTTCTACTTGCTCAGCTTTTAATGTGACAGCAGTCATGCAGATCCAATGGCTTCAGTAGTTTCTAAAATACATCCCCAAAAACAAGTATGAAGATCAGATGTTCCGATATCCATAGAAGCAGTTATAGCCAGGGTGAACGTGGCTCCCCCCCCCAATGTATTCTTACATTGGTTACGGTGTAGGTTCCAGTGATGAAGACTTAAAGGACAGCTAAACGCAAGAATAAAAATGTAATATATTGCAGATTACCAGTACTGAGACTAGTAAGCTGCTAGTTTTTTTTTCCGGGCTTTCTACCCTTTATTTTCACCTGGGGGTCCTTTCTGTAATACACATAGCTGTATATGTATAAAACATTCACATAGTTTTAGATTCACAATGCTTTTTGACACCATCTAGTGACCCTAATGCAATCAGAATCTAAAACTTAAACTTCGGCAGAGCCGTTTGGTGCCCCTTACTGTCCTAGGACCCTAGTCCTCATATGGACTTAATACCTCCCCCTTCTTAACTAGAGGTGAAGTTTTTTGGTAGTTCGCAGAAGATAGTTGTGAATGTTGATCATATGCTCTAAACTGAAATGTTAAGTAAAAAAAGGACTGACTATTTCGGATCGGATCAACAGGTATCCGTCTGTAGAAAATGCACTTAGTATAAGAAAAATAAAAACAAATCCGGCCACCTCATCTAAGAGCTTAGCTACAATAGATCACATTTTTGTTCCCAAGTCAAGAGCTGGGGATGGGAAGAATTTGTCCCAGATTGACCGCCCAGTGGTCCTAGCAACCAATGACTGCAGAGGAAGACCCGTGACATCATTGGTTGCTAGGAAGCCAACGGTCCTAGCAACCAAGGACTACAATGGAACATTACCGACCTGGGCTGGGCTATGACTTGCAGTGGATGCACCAGCCTTGGAGGCCGACGCATCCACTGTCAGCCAGCAGGTCGAAGATCAGTCCGTGTGTGCGAGCCATATGCGCCCCTTGGTCTGTGGCAGTCCGGCCCGCGGTCCACACATGACACTAGAATGCCCAGGTCTGCTATAACCGATTCTATGAACTTGAAACAGAGTGATGTCAACACCTGATATACATACTTGTTTTGGGAATGTATCTTAGAAACTACTGAAGCCATTAAGTCTGCATGAGTGCAAGGCCAGTAACACCCTCAGTAGCACATAAAGATGACAGGCCCTCTATTTCTCTCTGCACAATTCCATTAAGGCGATATATACGTTTTATCAATACTTACACCTATAATATTAGGGTGACTTAATTCTTGAAGAAGTTTTATTTCCCTCAAAGCTGTTCGATTTATCCCTGTATATGAAGAACGCAAGAGTCAATAAAAAAAACAGTTCAGGAGAAAAAACATCCAGACTGAGCATGGCAGGGAGCAAAAGCAGGGACCAAAACATCCAGCCAGAACTGAAGATTGCATAGCTGGAATAACAGATTGTTAACACTTTTTCTTTCTGGAAAGATTTTTTT